TCCTCAAAGAGTGGTGGTCCCAAAGTCGCTGCGTCGAGACATGTTGTATCGTTTGCATTATGCTCATAGTGGAGTTGTAAGCACCCTTTTTCTCGCTAGAGAAAGCGTATACTGGCCAGGAATGAGCGGTGAAATCAAACAGTTTATTGAAATGAGTTTATTTTTTGTAGGGTTGTACATTTCCTTTTCCATGTTGCCAGGTCTCAATCTTTGTTAGAAAGTTGGTGAAATTACAGACTGACTGGCATTTAAAAGAAGGGGTGCTAAATTATGTAAATAAATTCTGGTCATGAATAGAAGAGTTTGCTTCATTTATTGTGGTGAATGTACCAGTATCTATTGATGCACATTGTGACTAACTACTATTTTTGTTTCATATATGACCTCGAAGCTGAATTTGAAATATAAACAAGCATGCATTAATTTATAATAATCTAGCGTCTACAAGATTTAAAAATTATAGGTATTAATTAAAACTTTAAAAGGAGAAAGTGACTCTGGCTAAGTTTGACTTTGGGCAGGTGGAAATCAGTTCTTCTGCGGATATTGTAACTATGTACAATATAATTTCTAGTGAAATAGTCAGTTAAATATTGAGGTACTAGATTGCCAACACATATTTCTGTCTTTTCCGTTTTGTTTCTAACCTAGTCCACCTTAATACATTAAGCGTGTTTTTAGAAGAATCACGCCTTAAAACGATGCGGATGGCGCGATTTTGCAGAGTTTTGCTGGAGGTAGCTAATAATTCACCCCATACGGTGTCCGTATAACACAAGATTGGTTCTACAGTGTATTATAGACACAATTCGCTGCTTTGAGAGTAAGGCATGATCTTATTCGTGCTAACAGTCCCACTGGCTTGTTGACTTTGTTACAAATAGAGTCACTATGCTCTTTCCAGTGAAGTTCTTTGTCAAGCTTAACACTGAGATAATTAAACTTCGTCACTCTCTCTCTGTGTTATAATTACTTCACTTGAATTAATATTGTAAGGCAATACACTACTTCTACAACTTATTAATAATTAGAAATCCATTCGCTTTCACTGAAATTACAGAAATTATTCAAAGCTACAGGCATATTAACACGTGACCTTTTCCTTCACAGTCACTTAATGAATAACATTCAATATACACCATGATTTCCTAGCAAAAGGCCTAACATACATCTGAATTTTACGGTGGCCCAGAAGGCTCAACGCAAACAAAAAATATACTGCAGCAAATAAAAAAAAATCAAAACGCAAAGAAAAAAAGTGTCGAGGCAAATAAAAAATGCAACGCAAACAAAAAGTACTGCAGCAAATAAAATATGCAACGCAAGCTAAAAAAAAANGCGTACAGCCAAAGGGGATCCTACAGACACGCTGATACATTGCTCTGCGTACAGCCAAAGGGGATCCTACAGACACGCTGATACATTGCTCTGCGTACAGCCAAAGGGGATCCTACAGACACGCTGATACATTGCTCTGCGTACAGCCAAAGGGGATCCTACAGACACGCTGATACATTGCTCTGCGTACAGCCAAAGGGGATCCTACAGACACGCTGATACATTGCTCTGCGTACAGCCAAAGGGGATCCTACAGACACGCTGATACATTGCTCTGCGTACAGCCAAAGGGGATCCTACAGACACGCTGATACATTGCTCTGCGTACAGCCAAAGGGGATCCTACAGACACGCTGATACATTGCTCTGCGTACAGCCAAAGGGGATCCTACAGACACGCTGATACATTGCTCTGCGTACAGCCAAAGGGGATCCTACAGACACGCTGATACATTGCTCTGCGTACAGCCAAAGGGGATCCTACAGACACGCTGATACATTGCTCTGCGTACAGCCAAAGGGGATCCTACAGACACGCTGATACATTGCTCTGCGACAGAAGCAGCCTCTGCAGCTGAAAGGAAGCGATGAGGCAGGCTATGTCGACAGCGATCATAGAGTCGATTTCCCACTCTGATGGATGCAATTAGTAATTTAACCCACAGATGGCATAGTGAACTCGAGGGTTGAAGATCCAGGCGCTCGTGCCATACTCCGTGTGCAAAGATTACAGCTCTGACGCTGCAAGCGGAACTTCCGTTTCGTCCGTCTAGAGTTGACTGGCTGATTTCTGGGGGAAATTTCCATGAAAATGTGTTAGACTGGGTAACTTTCTCGCCAACAACGTCTACATTTTCTTCTGAAGTTGGCTGGTAATTTGTAGGCGTATCATCATCAGAATAGTCATCGGTGCCGGCTGTCAGAACGGTCATCGTCATAATCATTATCATCCTTGTCACCAATTTCTGCGTTCTCTTCAATGTTCAGGCATTCTTCGTATCCACTCCCTGTTAATGCAGCTTTAAACTTGGTGGCTGCACAATACATTTGGCTCTTACAGAGAGCAATCCCTTTTTTCGCTAAACTTATTTTTCCTCGAAGTACCCGCGCACTTGTTGAAGTAGTTTTGTACTTCGTTTCCTATTTAAATGAGTAATGAAAAAAATTAGCGAAGATAAGGAAGTGTAATAAGTAAGAGAAATATATCTATATACCCAATGAAACCACCCGGCAACTGCTCTGATGTCAGGACTGCACGTTTATTATTAGAAGACACAATAATCTTACAGTAGCCACTTAGCAGCTTAAGCAGAAGCACAAGTCGGGGGTCTGTGAAACGTTTTCCTGTTGATGACACCCACAATATATCTTAGTAACAGAAAAGGGGCCCTTGAAAACGGTAGTTAATTGTTCCACGCTACGAGAACCGGGATACGAAAGTCGGGAACTATAATCGTGAAGACTATACCGTCAAATTTCGTTGGATCACCATTTCTGAGTTGTCATCCACGAGTATGCTGGAGTACCAGTCAGGATCTTGAGAAATGGAAAACATTTTTTTAAATTTTGCCAACAACATTGCCGATAGAAATTGCAAAAACTAAAGCCATTTATTAATCACTCACTCTCCAACTTGAAGACGATAAAATGTGGCGAACGCTAAAATATGTGAAAAAGTGTAAACAATATACAATGGAAGAGAATAAAAGAATGAAAGAATAAAATAATAAAATAATCGTAGCACGTTCTTTTGTTCTTTTATTCTCTTCCATTGTATATTGTTTACACTTTTTCACATATTTTAGCGTTCGCCACATTTTATCGTCTTCAACTTGCTTCAACATATTTACTCTCCAACTTGTCCTTTAAATCCATAATCGCCCTTTCTAGATTCGGAATGGCAACCTCCAAGTGGAATGCTATGAAGTTTGCCATCTCCTTCTTGAAAAGGGCAATTTCTTCGTCCCATCTCCTGGAAATTTGGTGTCTTTCTATCATGATTCTTTGAATCCTTATAGGTGTAGCTTTATAAAGAGATCAATAAAGTACAACAGTCCGAGATCAGTTGGCTGTTTAATGATAGTGTATTTTAAGCACGTTGTAAAATGATAAAAAGTTATATGTCAGCATCGATTAAGCGATAGTATTAAGAGTAGTATACGCGAATCTCAGTTAAAATCAGCTGTTTCGGCCTATTTGGGCCTCGTCAGCACGGCGTAGCAACACACTCAGCATCACGGACTGGTGTACTGAAGTGACTGAGTTGCTTAAGCGATCAGCAGCCGTGGACAGCAATCAGTACATGTATTTAAGAAACTTATCAATACACCACATCGAAATAAATCAATTTAATGGGTTTAACATATCTTTCAAAGTTCACCTGCACTTCCTTCCAAGGGGAGGTTTCCTTTCATGACTTCAGAGACAGTAGATGTAGATTGAAGGTTGGAAACTTGATCACACTGTGTCTGCTCATTATACTGCTGTATTCGAGAGGTAACTTTGGCCTTTTCTGTAGAAATCTTACAACGCAATCTTGTGCGCTGCTTGGATGACTCTAAGTGGTAGTTAATTAGGTAAAGAGATATTTTGACCCAAATCAGCATAAAGTACTTCATGTAATAAATGATGTTTAACATACAGAATTAATCACAGCTTAAAAATAAGCGAAAAAGTAAATAAATAAATAAATAAATAAATAAGCAAGATATTAGCATACTTGCAGAATTTTTTGGCCCTTTAGTATCCATTGCTACACTTGTTCGTTCCACCCAAACCAGTGGGGACCTAAGATGATAGGACGGAGCGTCTTTCAAGTGTTTTAAGAAAGCGGTATTTTCTATGTTTTTAAGAAGCCAGTGTCAAACATTTTAAGAATGTTTTTAATATCATGAATCCTGACTGCAATTTAAGTAGAAGTAAATAAATAACGTGGCCGGACGTACCATCCAATTTGTTCATTGTATGAGAAGTCTGCTCTAAGGTTGACACCAACATTTCTATTTCATCTTGAAGCCGAATACTGCTGGAAGTACCCTGGTAGGATTCGACTTCTATTCCAAAAATCAACATTGTTTTGAAGTAAGCATCACTTGTAAATAGATAAGTCAGTTACAGTTGTTATTTCGTCTTTATACTTCAGAAGGTAAGGTGACAACATTTACACTCCCCAGTCTATCTTTACTAATAAAAACAATATTTTGTAGCCTAGAAATGTGTTATAAAACAGGGTAGATTTTCTTTCTATTGTTTAGTATTATTCAAACTATGAGTCAAGGAATGGAATAATACCAAATACACAATATTTTTATTGCCTTGTGCATGACTAACAACTGCAAGCTTCCACTCATCTGATTTGAATTGATTCAGTGATACACCATATTCATCAAGAGCTTCATTAAACTCTTTAAGTGATTCATTCTGCATTCTAACAGCCTTTTAAAGTAGCAGTGAAAAAACAAAATATTGAAATTGGGGAAGGACAGAAATTTAAAGCAAAAGCTCCTTTTCTTTTTTATGGAAAATTAAACCTGCCTGTGAGATATTATAGGAGAAATGAATATAGGTCTTCATCTGTTCCAACATATAATGTACACTGTTGCATACTCACACGAATATATCGCTGAGCAAGACTCTGGGCCATAACACCAATTTTTTTTTTGTTCCACCTAAGGGCATGCTCTGTAATAAGCTCTTCTCGATCTTCAAAATGGTAAAACAAATAGTCATGAGCAAGTATAAGATAAATGATTTTAAAACGGTTTTGCACTGTATGCTGGTTTATACTGTATGAACGTTTATTGAAAAACTAGACTTGTTATATATAGCAGTTCCTGAGTTTTCATTCATTTACAGGCCATTGAGTACATAAAAGATCTTGTTTAACATGGAACACAAATATGGTAGGTGAACCATATGGAGACAGCCAGTGAAATTAAATATGGCATTCTTTCTAATACAACAATTGAAATATTTTAGTTCACTGTCAAATTATTATTCGCTCCGACGAAGGGCTAACACTCCAAACGTCAGCTTTTGTAATCATTACGGTGGCCAATTTACCATTTCAACTTTGTTGATATATCCAAATTAGTTCGTTACTCCCACCGACCTAGCCCCAAACAGTTTCTTTCAAAACTATCAGCCTTTATTATTCTACTCACCCAACTTGACTGATTATAGCGCAACATAAAACATTTTGTTGGCTAACTAAAATCCTGAATCCAATGTGTGTTAATGGAATAATAGTAACATACTGTCAAATATACATGTATTTGGGAGTAACAATAAATGACTCAATTTCTACCAGAGAAATTATTTTCTATAAAAAATAGATAAAGGAAATAAAAATAAGACTCTTACTCGCACTCTGTCACTGGTTAAAGTTTTAACTTAATCTCAGGAGGCATGTAATTTGAAGTGTTTCCACAATGAGACATGCGAGAATTGATATGCTCCACTTCCTCACCGGGCACTTCCATCTTGCCATCGACCACCCCATATGACCTGTTAAACATAAATTATAGTAGTTAAGAAATAGAAAACATGTACCATGTTTATATTAAGTTCTAGAAACATGAGTGGAAGTTTGGGAGAACAAGAAATCTTGTGGGAACACAAGCCGTAGTTTAGTGTTTGTACAGCTTTTTCAAGTTCTCTCAACTTTCACGAGTGTTTCTATAACTTGATAGAAACACGGAGAACATGTTGTCTATTTCTTTTGGAGTACACCACAGCAAACAAAAGGAAAACAACTTGTTAACTTCAATTATCAAAATGTATATTATCTTTGCTCGAGCCATCCTTACTTCAGCAGCTTGTGCTAGTTCTGTGTTTCTATCAAGTTAAAGAAACACAGTTTAAAACCAATCAGTGCAGGTATTTTCTTACAACTGTTTACTAATAGATCCTATTGTGTAACTTGTTCAAATTTGTGTAATTTTTAATCAAAATTAGCTTTCATTTAACTACAAATAAGCATTACAATTTATACCTGGCATCTCCAACTGTGAGCTTTTGCTTGCATTACTGACAAGGCTGGTTTCATATCACAGTTTTCCAATCCCCCTGCTTTTCCAGCCCACTTCCAGTATTTGCAAACTATATCTTCCCAAAGATATTTGACACCAGCTGGTATCATCTTTTTCTTATGTATGAAGTTTGCATAAACATAAAGCTCTCCTTGGAATATGTTCACTGCCCACTGGGCCAAGCCATGCCTGCAACCTACATGATCATATAAATAACAGTTTCAATAAGTACACCAAATGCATCTCTTCAACCAACAGTTGTAGATTTTCAGACCTGATACATTTATGACAAAATATATTGAATTTCAACCTGCAATCTCAAGTCCAGACTCATCAAGTTTGGCTGCTTTTCTGCCATGGTTGTTTGCAGCCCTCCAATGTGAATCACCACATCTATTATCAACATCCTGTGAGCAGGCAAAACACCCATCAAATGCCAAGAAAATAAGCTCTAAAAGCCATAATGGACATAAATGTATGGCATACAAAATACATTCTAAAGGAAAAAACCTTAGATTTGGACCTCTTTGCATAAACTGCCTGTATGTGGCTGTCTACATCATGGTTGTTGGCAATGAAGAGGTCTCCATAGTACAATGGCCTTCTTTGACTAAGTACATGAAAGAAACTTAAAAAATATCTATTGCATTAAATGCAAAAATGGAATTTATCATATCATCATATCATCATATCATATCATCATATCATATCATCATATCATATCATCATATCATCATATCATATCATCATATCATATCATCATATCATATCATCATATCATCATATCATATCATCATATCATCATATCATCATATCATATCATCTCTGAATTGTTATGCTGCGTCTATTAAGTCTACATGATTTATTACAGACAGAGAGCAAACTATGAATTCCCTTTAATTTATAAATAAGGTGTTTTATTGTTTTGAAGAATGCATGTTTTAAACAGTTTAGAAATTTGCTGTTACAGACTTAGATTCAGTTTTCAGGACACTCTTTTCTGGTAATCTGTGGCAGTAATTCACAAATTACTGCCACACATTACTGGAAAATAGTTTTCTGAAAACTGATACAAATTTAAGCTTATTGCATATTTCTAACCCACATAATGAAAATCAGCCTTCTACCAAAGAGCAATACACCTCT